AAAGAATATTCCGAATTAAATGTTGACTTGGATAAGGATTAATGAAGAGGATGCTAACTGAGAAGTAATCGATAGTGATTTACATTTCGTTGCTTATTTTTAAAAAAATTCTAATGCTTTAATGGAACAAGTAAAGATTGGAAAGTGGATGCTTCTGAACTTGACTTCACGGAAGAATTCAATAATGGAAAAAATCAGAATTTAAAATAGTGGAACGTAAATGACACCATTTTTAAGAATAGGAGCTGGATGACATTTTGGAAAAAATAATAAAAAAAGTAGATGCTATTAAGTAAACCGTGACTGAAACTTTCAAAGCGCAAGATTATTTAGATGATCCAACTAACATATCCAAAAAAAAGTGATGTTGTTACGCTAAGTTTCGAATTGAATTAATTCAGGATCCATCGAGATTAAGTTGCGTTGGCCCGACCTGGTCTCGGTCCCGAATAAAACTTTTGAAATATGAATTACGCACATAGATTTTAACTCATTAAATTTATTTTATTTCAATCAAGCATTATTTACTATTGGATTTGATTTTGAATCCATGATTTTAGACACAAAATTGCTCTAGCTGTATGTGACTCCAAACTTTTCATTATGTAATTGTTTGACCTGCAATGGAAAGCAACACTTGTTAATAAGAATAAATTGTTTATTTTACATTTTAAGAAAAGCATTGTTTTATTTAGTGATGTTAGCCGGCTAAAAAAAATTTATCTTAACATTCATTTTTACGTCCGGAATTTAGTGCAGAATTCAGTGACATAGACGTTTAGTTGAGATGGGTCCACATGCATTACTCAGAGTGACAAAAAATTATACATTTGCTCAAAAAACAAAATACAATACATTATAGCAGGATAAAAGTCGTAGTTAAAGTTTCCATTCGTAATACAAATTCTCATTTTAATTCAAATCATTATTATTCATTTTATTCGAATTATTCGTTTTATTAGTTATATTGCTCGTTCTATTCGAATTATTCGAATTATTCATTTATTCGAATAAACTTTCAATGTAATTTGAATACTCAAATTCATACGAATAAAACAAATAAACCTTATTACCACTACTATCGTTATTATAATATCTCATCTTTAATGATTCGAGTAATAATATACTGGCAAGTTTAGTACCATCTGAAAAGCTTTTTCATCAACTGGATTTATTTAAGTTCTTAGCTGCTAAGAGTTGTTCGGCTTAGTCAGCTAGGGTTTTTCTATCAGTTAACATCACTAGTTTTATTATTATCTTTTGACGATTCTGACTAGCATTAATAAGTATTTAATTTAAAAACTTGAATTGATTATTGTTTTTTGTTATTTATCATCAATCTTACACAAAAACTAATCCTTGGCAGCGTGCGGCTCTTTTATTACTATATTCTTTTATCTTTTTTTTTTATTTTTTTTATTAGGCAAATTGACAATTTGCTTTTGTCCTTCTGTGGATGAGTGAACTCATCTGTTAAGTATTATATTTTTTTTTATTGTCATTTTTCATTATACATGAATCATTTATATTTGACTACTTTTTTTCATTATTTCATTAATTATTATTATATGCATCCATTAAAAAAGGCGAAGAACATTATTGAAGTTTTCCATCTTTTCGGCTATCTATTTCTCAAATTGGTTTAGGCTTTTTATCTTTAATATTAAATTTACTGATTCGTGAACTTGTATATATATTAATATGTAATTTTTTTATTAATTATGCAACAACTCTTTAATCGACAATAAAAAACAAACAAAACAAGTTCTTTTTCCAACAAATAAATAATAATAATAACAATGTTGGCAAGAATATTATTGCCGATTTTCAATGGTTACATAGTGTCTTCTTGTGATTCACTTTGAAATCTTGGGATTCAATTTTTTTGTGTAAAATCGATCACTCTGTGATTCAAAATATGCGAGATTGAAAAGCGTAAATCAGAGAAGTCTTCAAATTAAAAAAGTAGGCGAGGATCTCCTTGGATTTATTTCTGTATTACATAAATATTATTAAAGTTTCACAAAAAATTTCAATGACTCACTGCGCATCCTCTACTAAAACCTTGCTTATTATTATTACCAAAAAATAAAACTTTAACAAAATGTCAACTTGCTTTTCATCATTAGAAAATCTAAACTTATTATTTGACAACCTTATCAATTCCAACAACAATGCTCTTCCATTAAAATATATTGGGAAACTTGTAAAAGATTTAACAAAGTCATTGAATGAGTCTGATTTTTATGATGTAGAAATTAGTGTTGGAGTAAATGAGAATGTTAAGACTTTTAAAGCTCATTCTAACATTTTAAAAGCAAGGTCTTCGTATTTTAAAGCTGCTTTATCAAAAAATTGGATAAAAAAATCTGATGATGATATTATTTTATTTGAAAAAAAAAACATTTCTCCAGATGTATTTGAGGTTCTTTTAATGTAAGATTATTTAATTTTAATTAATTAATTGAATGACCATAATAATTTAAATTACTTTATTTTGTTTTATAGATATATTTACAATGGAACTCTTAATCTAGATAATCCAGATGGAAACAAAATTTTTGAACTTATTGAAGCATGTGATGAATTAAACTTTAATGAATTAATTAATGATTTACAAAATTATTTGATTAATAAAAAAAAAGAATGGATTCAACAGAATTTAGTTTATGCTCATAAATTTTCATTTCATCATCAATCATTCAACTTGCTTCAAGATTATTGTTGTGAGATGATTAGTAAACATCCAGAATTATTTTTTAAATCCAATGACATTACAACAATTGAAAAATCCATGTTTATAACTATGTTAAAAAGAGATGACTTGGAATTAGATGAAATTGATATTTGGGATATTGTCATTCAATGGGGAATAAATCAAAATAAAAAATTAGACAAAGACATTTCAGAATGGAAGAAAGAGGATTTCATTATGTTAAAAAATAAAATAGAAGATATTATTCCTTTGATAAGATTCAACCAAATCTCTTCAAATGATTTTTCTGATAAAATTCTACCATTTAAAAAAGTCTTTGATAAAAAAGTATATGAGGAAATTCTTCTATACTATATTAGTGATAAATGGAAGCCAAACCTATTGCTTCAAAAAGGTCCAAGATCAAAAACAAAATTAGGAAAATTATTAAATTTACAAACAAAATCTCTCATTTCAAGTTGGATTGATTACAAAAATGATCTATATAATGAAAACAATATACCTTATAAATTTGAATTAATTCTTCAGGGTACTCAAAATGGATTCTCTAGGTCTGTATTTGAGGATAAATGCTATAATATTGAACAAACTGTGACCATTATGAAAATTAAAGATACAGGAGAATTGGTTGGTGGTTATAATCCAGTTGGTTGGAATATAAAAGAAATGTCACCAAATGATTGGTATTTTATTGAAACAGACAAAAGTTTTATTTTTAAAATTGATGAAAATAAGATAAATAGCTCAATATTAAGTAGAGTTATAGAACCACAACATGCAATACGCCATAATAGTCAAAAGATTAATGTAACTAAAGATAATATAAAATTCCATGAAAGTATTATGCATTTTTGGGATTTATATCTATATAATAGTATTAATAATGAACCTTATTGTGGTTATTATTATGGTAAAAATCCTACTTATGAAAATGATTTAAATTTTAGAAATAAAAATAGAGAAGTTCATTTGATAGGAGAATGTGAAGTTTATAGGATAATAAAAAAGAATTAATTTAGAATAATTTACATGTTATTAAATTTATATATTTATAATAAAAATATTATTACTATGTCTTTAACCACAATTTCTGCGCCATGCTGCTAAATTTCAAATTTATAAAAATCACTGGCTATTTTTAGTTGAGAATTTTTCTGACACTACAATAAACTTTACAGTTACCGAATAAAAGAATAAAACAGAAAACATTCTTTTAAGCATCACATGCAAGAATGTTGGTTAAAGACTTCGTGTACCATATTAATATTAATATGACAAATTTTTGACCAAATACTGAAAACAATAATTAACAAAAAGACAAATTAGTTCAACAATTAACCAGTGAAAAAAGTCGATTATAAAAATTCAGTTAGTGAAAACCAAAACTTGTGCTAACAATTGGACAATAACAAAATTAAAGCAAGAAAATGAAATGTAAAAGGATCATTGAATTAAATTAGCCTAACATGACAAAAGCCAAATGAAGAGTGAAGAAACAGGAAATTCAAAGAGAAATTAATCAACTAATAGCATGCAAAAATATGAAAGTCAAAAGGAGACAACAATATCTCATCCCTGTAAGAATACAATTTAGATTTTTAACTTACTGTAGAATTTTAAATCTTATAAGGATTTCTATTAATGGTATTGGATTGAGTGAATGAATAGTGGCGAGGCTCAATATTTTATACACAACCATCAGTTATTTCTGAATAAGAACACACTTTGGGTTTTTAACTTACTGTAGAATTTTGAATCGCTCAAAAATTCCCAGAATTGAATTATTTTTTATAAGGACTAATATTATCAATTGAGAACAGGATTGGATTGAGTGAATGAATAGTGGATATTTTATATACAACCATTAATTATCTTTACATAAGAATACACTTTAGGTTTTTAACTTACTGTAGAATTTTGAATCACTCAAAAATTCCCAGAACTGAATTATTTTTTATAAGGACTAATATTATCAATTGAGAACAGGATTGGATTGAGTGAATGAATAATTGATATTTTATATACAACCATTAATTGTTTTTACATAAGAATACACTTTAGATTTTAACTTTATGTACATTAATTAACTACATCAAATTGTTAAAAGGATTTCAAAAAATAGTTGCCTTAAGAAATTTGGCTGAAATGTTTACACTATATAAAAACAATCAATATGTGTATAGGAATCAATCGTCCGTCACGTCACTAAAATTTATAATTTAGTGATCAGCAAAATGTTGCAAGTATTTGATTTGATTGGCTAAATCGACTTCGTCAAATTTCGTCAAATTTCATCAAAACTGCGATTTGGATTATCAATACTTGTTATACAATGAGTCTTAAAATAATTAATATGAAAGTCTAGGTTTTGCCAATTCGCGCAAATATAATTTTTATTGTCTAAAATACAATATGCAATAAAATTGTGAAAACTTTGTATATTACAAGCAAATTTATATCAATTTATAGCTCGGTGCTCAAATACAAGTTAAGCAATAAATAAGACAAACGAATTTTGTTACTCAAGATACAGTAAAGGCTTGAAACATTAAATTTTTTCATGCACATGACATAAATTCAATGGGTTATAAATAAATTAATAAAACTATCACAACATAAAACCTCAGTTTAATAGCAAAACAATTTCCCAATTCATCAACCAATAAATCATCAATATTTTAATATTACTGGAAACTAATGTTTATTGATTAATTAAAAAATATTATTACTAGTAATTAACGTACAGTGACTTCCGATTAGTAATGAAATTAATCAAAATTAACATTTAGAAGAAAGGGTTAAAATCAAGATCATTTAATAAACTATCGTTACTCAAATAACTTTTCAAGCTTTTCGATGTAACAATTTCATCATCTAATATTTTAATTGTATGATATGCATTGGATGTGACTTGCGTATTTGCTGTGATTCACCACTATCACCACTATTGCTACTACTTCTACCATCAGTTTCATGACTTTTAATTTTAGAAAATTTGGATATTCTCTCAATCAAACTATTGTTGTTACCTTCATTTATTAATCTTTTATTTTTATGAATTTCTTTATGTAGTTTTTTTCCGATAAAATTATTATTTATGCATCAACAAATCAAATAACTTTGTTGGCAAATTCAATGCAATCTGAGATTATTGTCAAATGCTAACCAAAAAAGAATGCAGTAATTTGGTGCATTATGCATTATTTGGAACAATAATCAATATACTATGTTCAGTTCATATAATGAATTCAGCTCAAAAGATTTAAACTATAAAAAATTAATTATTTCAAAAGTAAAAGGAAAATAATTTTTTTCGTTATAACACGCAATAGCACATGATTTCGCACCAATGTTCTCAATGAACCAGAACCAGCATTTTCAGTTCGTTAGGCAAAGTTTTGCGGTTTGAATAAAAGTAATCTAGCTATTCATGGTTATTAGTCAAAGTATGTCAGGTCTGGTATTTAAGAATAAAATTGTGATTATGCAAACACATAATAAGATGACAATTATATAATCATTGAAGAATTAAAGAATCAAAGAAATTTAATAATAATGATATTCATAAATAATATGCATGTAATTTTCATGTAAAGAATTCATCCATTATTTTGTTGGATTTCAATCTCTACCTGTTGCAGTTGTTGATCTTGAATTTGTTGTTGCCGACTTCTAAGGGCTTCTAACATGTAAGTGTCAATTACATTACTTTCAAGGAAATCCCTAAATCCTTCCAAATCTCTGACTGCCTGTGAGATTCTTACTAAATGAGAACTTAAATCAGTATTTAAATCAGCATTGGTGCTAGACGAATTCAGAAATTGTGTGAGTTTTATTTCGGTGTGCTCTTTGAATCTTCTGATGCCGCAACATCCGTTATGTATAATACCCCAAGGTTTCATTGAATCGACCCCTAAAAGTTTTTGAAATAAAAATGAGAAAATTATAGTATATAATAATTTAACCCAAAAAAAAAGATAATAATAATCGTAGTTTTCCGCCAATTTGAATTCCTGTGAGAATATTCGACATCCGCCAAAATTAAAATATCCGAAATTAATATTCATTTAATAAATTAAAACAATTTATTCACGGGAAATTCAAATTGGCGGAAAACTACATGATTATAAAAAAAAGTCAACTTGCCGAATAAAAATACATATACAAACACAATGGAACTGTAGTATGCAGCAATAGTTCCCAGTATGTTCATAATCTAAATATCCAAATGATGGGCTATATTATTTTCAAAAAAATAAAAAAAAATGATGAAACTTCAGAAATATTCTTGTTATTGCTCACATTAGTGGTTCTATTATTATTATTTGTAAAATTGTGTTAATAAAACATTAGCAAAATGGATTCAAATCAAGATGTAATAATTGATTGTTTTAAATCATAAAATCAAATTATAGATGATTTTTACCTCTGTTCTTGTTCTACAATTTCGTAAAAGTCGTGTGGGCCGATCCTTACAGTCACATAATACATACTGGGAGAGTTTATAGGAACAGCCTCTGTGGTTATTAATCAATAACACAAATAACATCAGCATTAAAAAAGGTTAAGATGCACATTATGACTTTTGAAACAAATATTCTTACGTATATTTGATTCAATGTAAGATTGCTGATTGTAGGATGATAAGAATCCAATATAAGCAAAAGCCGTTTTAATCTGTGTGTTTCTGATCTTTCTTACGAATCCCAGCCTGTATACCTATTGATTTTTTAATAATAATTTTTTAACAATTTGGAAATTCATCCTCTTTCTAAAATATGATCTCAGTAATACATACATAATTTTTCGATAAAGCATACTTATTCATGCTGAAAAGTGATGCTACAAATCACAGGTAAAAAATTAAATTTCTAAAATGCGCAGTTTTAGTTAAATAATGATCAAACTTTTGATAAACGGTATTATTAAATTTGCTTTTTCTTACCAATGAATGTATCGGAAGATTCTCTACTTTGAGCATCGTCCTGTTCATTTTCTATTTATCCACTGCCATATTATTATATAAATATAAAAAAAATTATCCATTAACTTTATGAAAAACTTACCTGAATCATATGCAGTCATTCTAATTGTAGTTTTCTGTGAGGTCTCGTTCAGGACAATAGCAGTCGGATCTATGATACTCATGTAAAGAAAAATAAATCTTGGTAGCCCTTTTTCATCATCATCACGTTTGGACAAATTTAAGCTACCATTTGGTGAGAATGTACCAATGAAAGGAAAATTGACATCACTAGTCTTTTTCGTTTGGGTAATGTATTGATCACATTTGTCTATTTTTGCTTTTGAATATTTTGAGTCATATATTAATTAATATTCATAGATAATATGAAATAAGAATAAAACAACTATAAGTTATCTAAACAGCAAAAGAAAGGAAGCAATTGAGGAAATTAATAAATTATTTCAACAAAAAAACTCTGCTTACTTCCATTGGTATTGTAATATAACACGCAAGTCATGTTGAAATCTACACCAAAACCCAAATGGACAGCTGCATCGATTTTTAGTTTTGGTATTTTTGGTATTAGAAAACGTGTCGCCTGACTTTTGTAATACTAATACCAAAAAATATTTTTTTACCTGGAGCCTGTGGATTATCCTTTGGTTTAAAAGTGGTACTGGTAACAGGCTGTTCATTGACCATCTTTATGGTTAACACGGTAAATGAACCTACCAATGTCAATAATGATATAATGATAATAAAGCGTCGAAAATATAAGATCGATTCTGCTTCAGTTCTTCGCGGTCTTTTTATTAAGTCGTGCCACATGTTATTATTCTTAATTTACTTTTTTTTTTTTTAATAATATTACAAATAAAACTTTTTCTTTAATTTATAGATTACAGAAAATAAATAAATAATAATAAATAAATAAATAAATCAGAAAAAACTCCATTTAAATAAAAATTTCAAAGGGAAGAATTATTGTTTAAGTAAAACAACCAAATCAAGAAAAATATTTTACTTTATTTTTCTTCCATACAATAGTTATTAATCTTAGTTAAGATGGAAAATAAAAGAAATTGTAATAAAGCCAAAACTGGTCAAAGTCCACCTACTCCTGCTCCAGCAAAAAAAAGAAAATTGCCAGATCCTCTTCTCCTTCTGGTCCAGTCTGCCCTCAAGAAGACTACTACTTGATCACCTGTATTAACTGCAATCAAACATTTGTTTATACATTAACAAACGAACATAATAATGCTAATCATTTTTTTGGGCAAATCTTTGCTCATAAAGACAGTAAATCTTTTATCTGTAATTTGAATTGTTCATTCAATAAGCCAACTGAATTTTCTCCCTCCCCATTCAACTCCTAAACTCACTATTAATACATCTATGGAAATTATGGATAAAATCTATCTCTTCTGACAATACAATCTCTTCCCAAACCATCTCGCCAACCTCTTCACAACTCAAAATTCCTTTCATCAAATGTTACACTTAAATATTGTGCATGCTGCACCAAATGTTGCACTTAATGAGCAATATCGTTACATTGATTCAGTCTGCACCTATCAATCTACACAAACAAATGTCGTATAGAATTTGCCATAAAATACAGAAGACAAAATTGTAACGAAGTCATTTTTCCGATGAAACTACATTAGAAATACTTAAAAGTATTTTATAAACCTGGTAGTCACCTTTACACAAGGATATGGTGAAACATCCATACAAAATTCATGCCTGGGGTGCCTTTTCTGTAAAAAGTCCAATTGGTTTTTTCTTTTTACTGATATATGGGTGATACCGAAAGATTTTTACTGAAAATATATTGGAAATGAAAACAATGTCATGGAAAACCGTTGGATCTTTCAACAAGATAACGACCCTGAGCATACGGCTAGGAATACTAAAAAACTTCTTGCACTACACCGTCCAAAAACGTTGGATTGGCCATCAAATAGCCCAGATCTCAATCCAAAGGGACGTGTTAAAAAGCAAGTCAATAAAGTGTTAATTAATAAAAAAGCAGTTGTTCGTGAAATAATTTAGAAAGAATGGAAGGGAGACAAAAACTTTTTTTTAATTTAATTCGTAGTACGCCGTCACTATTAAATGAAGTAATTGAGAAAAATGACCTGTTGTACGTGAAAATGAAATTATGTGAATCCGCAATTCACATATGTGAAATTCAAATTTACATGTATGAAATTCAAATTAGCCAATTAGAATTTCACCCCACTCCATAATATTTCAATTTCACATACAACATGCCTATAAATTTTCATGCACAATTAATAAAAATTTCATTCCAAAAACTTTTCGTCACTGATAATGATTGAACCTTTGACATGTATAAATAATGTTGTAATTTTCTTAACTTCATATATCATTAAAACATCGTAGCATTAATTTACATCATTAACATCATCATTTAATAAATAACAAACTGTTCTTATCCTTGTCCTTAGGTTGTCTTCGAAATTAAAAAAAAGAATCATGTGCAGATAAATAAATATATGCTAGAGTGAAAGAAACCAGTAAAACAAAAAAACAGGTTTAAATTCTAATTAGCGCTATCAGAAAGTAAAAAGAAGGTTCGGAAAAAAAAATCAAGCAATATGATGTTTATTTTTTCAATGATATGACTTTTAACTTCGACAACCCATCTTGTATCTCTTGATGGGTGTTGTTGTGCAATGGTTGCTTCATAATTATCATCTACCAATTCTATTCAAAATTTTAATATTAATTTGACATTAATATCAAATAATAAATATCAATAATATATGAAAATGAACTTACACATAGGATTATTAATTTTGAAACGTCATCTACCAAGGTTTCTGGTCCAAACTATTTTTAAAAAAAAAGTAGTTTTGACAATAGTATGGGCTTCTTGATATTTTTTATGAGAATGTACATGAATGACTATATGAATCAATTAATTTTTTCCCAATGTGTTTTGCAAATTTCAGCTACTAAAAGAGGTGGTTTGACCAGAACCTTAGTTACTAATAGATGATGGTAAAGTTACTTCAAAGATTTTTTCAAATATATAAAATTCTGGAGTAAGAATTTGCATAACATACACTGTTATCTTCAATTCTATTTATTTAGTTAGGTTAGCTTTAATGTATGTATATAATGTATTAATTATTACTTACAATATCAAATATTTGATCAAATGTCCATTCTTCTTTATTTAATATGTTGCAAGTTTCTGCAAATTGATCGTGCAAAAGAATTGTGATTTGTAGAGTCATTAATCTTTTTCCTTAAATCTTCATTACTGTAAAGTCTCGAAAGATAGCATCCCCTTTTTACAATTGTGTAATGAATGATTTCAATTGTAAAGGTTGCTATGTTCAACAACCATTTCTCTCTTTTGTATGTTTACATTATTACTCCTTTACTCAAAGGGAGAGTTAATAATAAGTATCAATTTTTTTATAAAAACGTGGAAAAATTATAGATAAATATTAATCAAAAATAATTACAATCCCAATTCCATAGAGCATATCTTTTGCTTCTAAATATTATTGTAAATAATTAGCCATGTACAAGAGATCCTATATGTAATTCTGGACAAGTTAGATTAAAATAGTCATCATTCAACAAAAAAGGTTTATGCTAAAAAAAAGTTTTTTTAATTGAATAAATGATTGATCTTTTTAGATTAATTAAAACTTATAAAAAATCTTAAAACAACATTGCAATTATGTCAAATGTATTGTAATTGATATAGTTTTCATACTTAATATGCTATTCTTGCACATTTTATTGTTTTGATATTGTGCAAATATCTCTAAAATAATAAAATATTATCTGTAACTTTTGTACAACTTTAATTTGTTATCTTTAGGTTGTCTTTCTGGATCAGATAAATTAATGATACCATTTTCATATAAAAAAATCAATAGTCTTAAAGTCACCAATTATTACAAAATAATCATAAATAAAACATTGCCACTTCTCTGCACCAAACATTTGTTTTTGCTAATTCCTATATTGGCACACATTATTAAATTATTACTATAAAGAGGAAATTCTCATATAAATTAATTAATTAAAAATAATGACATACATTATTAAACTTGGACCCAAAGACCAGAATTTTTTTTAAAAAGTCAACAAAGTCTAATTATGTGAAATCAAACATTCTGATCTTGTAAGTTCGCATCATTATTAGTAGTAGTTGATGATGAGCTATAGATAGGATTTTTGGTGTTGACAGTAACAATATATTATTATTTGTTGGTTTTGATGATGACAACAACAAAGATCTAAGGAATAAATATAAAAGAAAATTTAGAATGACAACAAGTTGTAATGCATCACCACCATCACCATTCTTATTTCAAGTGCATAAACAAATTTTTATATTGTTGCCTAGTGTTGTTCTGAAGACTAGGTGTTATTTGTATATATTTATTTTTTTTTTTATGATGAGATAATGTCACATAATTTTATTAAGAAAATGACTAATGACAGTTGTATTTTCTTTGAATTCATATAGGAA